ACTTCACTTTCTTTTCACTTTTCCTTTATGTTCTAATTGTTCCGCAAGGGTTTGTATTTAATAATATTACATTATTAAATTGTATAATTTGTGTGATTGGAGAACTTGAAAATTATGTAATTCCACGTGTCTTCACTTTTCACAGAGCTATGGCAGCAACAAGAAACATATATATACGTGTGCATTGATTAATTCCAAGCGAAGGAATGATTCCGCATGGAAAAATTCTAATCGCCTGTACCCCTTGCACTGTGAAGCTGAGCTTTAAGCTTTATCATAGCTGTATAACCGGATGATCTTCTTGGCCTCCCGCATTCCGCCAATCTCTTCGAGATATGCTATGTATTTCCCTACCAAATGTATCTAAATTGTTCGATGTTTATTTGATTCACTTAACTGAAAGGGTATAATGGGACACTACAACTGTGCGCTGCAGTTTTAGGTGCCGAACTCACCAATCGAGTTAGAAGGGATCTCCATATGAACCTTGACACAGAATCAGGAAGCTTCTGGACTGATTCCACCGTTGTACTGTCCTGGATTAACGCATAGGCGTCCACATACCACACCTTCGTGGCAAATCGAATCGCCAAAATCCAGGCATTGACTAACCAATTACAATGGCGTCATGTTTCATCAGCCAACAACGCAGCAGATGTCCTTTCAAGAGGAATCCTAGCAAGCAAGCTAAGGAATCATAGTCTATGACTATACGAACCATTATTCTTGCACGGATCAGGAGATAATTGGACAAAACCACCCATCATTGAGTCCAGCTATCTCGAGAGAAAGGCTAAGCATGTCAGCTTGCCAATCGCATCTAGCTCTCTCGGAGAAGAGTTATACACATGCAGACATAGCAACTCGCTCAACAAACTACAACGTATTGTAGCGTACATGTTTCGCTTCTGCTACAAAACTAATAGAGCACCTACAACGACACTTTGCGCAGGAGAACTAAGGCGTGCTCGCACTATGATCCTACGAACGATTCAACAAGTTGAGTTCACAGCGGATTTAAAACAGTTAAAACGCTATAAAACAGTGGATTAAAAGAGTTCGATCATTTCGTTATCTCCCATACTAGGAGATAATGAACTCATCCGAGTTGGCGGAAGACTCGAAGAAGCTCAAATTCCGTTCAACGACCCAATGGTCAAAATGATTATGCGAGAACTTCATGAGGAAAATCTGCATTGCGGTGCCCAAGCATTAAGGGCAATTGCAAGCCAACAATATTGGATTATCAACGACAAGACGACATCATACATAGCTGTATTAGATGTACCAGAGCCAGACCAAACCAAAATACAGGCGTTGACTACTGCGGACCAATTATGATCCACCATAAAATCCGAGGAAAACGGCCAGATAAAGCATACATTGCTGTATTCTGCTGCTTCTCTACAAAGGCTGTACATCTGGAGTTAGTAAGTGACTTAACCACAGATGCATTCTTGGCAGCACTCCGGCGATTCCTTAGCAGACGCGGGAAGTGTCAGACTATTCATTGCGACAGCGCAACAAATTTCGTCGGCCCAAATAACAAGCTAAAGGAATTGAAAGAAGCAATATTTAGCGAAAAGGCACATGCTCTGATCACAAATCATTGCAACAAAAAACAAGTTGATTTTAAATTCATTCCTCCTCGGGCCCCATCGTTGGCGGCCTCTGGAAAGCTGCGGTAAAATAAGCGAAAAGGCTGCTAATTACAACCACAGAAACAGCATCCTTGACGTTCGAGGAGCTGAACACCGTCATAATCGAAATTGAAGCAATTCTCAACTCCCGACCCATAACTCCAATGTCAAATGATCCAACGGATACAAGTGCGCTTACTCCAGGGCATTTCCTGATCGGTGAACCTTTGACCGCAGCACCTGACGTCAACACTGATCGTCAAGAAAAAACTCTGGTTAAGCGCTGGGAATTGGTGTCACGCTTAAAACATGCATTTTGGAAACAATGGTCAACAGAATACCTCCATGAACTACAAACTCGGCATAAATGGAAAACCACTGCTCCGAACATGACCGAAGGATTATTAGTTTTGGTGAAGGAAGACAACCTTCCAGTAATGAAGTGGCCAATGGGTCGCATCATCAAAACTTATCCTGGGCAAGACAACCATGTACGAGTGGTTGATGTCAAAACATCGTCCGGTGTATACAAACGCCCCATCAGTCGTCTCGCCCCATTATTCTCAGAGGAGGTAGCAACAAAACGCTCCAAAAATGCTATTCAAGACATTGCGGAAACAGAGAAGCCACCAACACAGCGAAAAAGGTTATCATTACCTACACTAACATCCACATTGTTAGTGTTACTTCTCATGCTGCCATTAGCATTTTCACAATCAATAAATGTGACGCAATTTGCAAACAAGCCTAGAATATTCTATGAGAAACTTGTAATCTCACGAATGACCACTTCCGAATGGACCATGATTATATACGATGACTTGGATCCATAATGGAAGGATATGCAAGTCATGTCAGCCGGAATGTCCGAACTAAGACACATGTGCCCTGAACTAAAAAATGTTCCAGCGTGCAACTCCATATTTCAACACTTTCAACATTTGTACAAAGAACTACAAACAGGAAATTTGCTAATGAAGGCCCCTCGACAACGCAGATCACCGCTGGATATAGTAGGAAACATGGCACACCAGCTGTTCGGTGTACTTGACTCTACATATGCTGAGAAAATGGCCAAAGTAATCGAAAAGGTACAAACCAACGAAGACTTTCTGCTACATCTACTACGAAATCAAACGTCAATTGTCGACTCCACAATGAACGTGATCAGGAAGGATAAGTCAGCCTTGGACAACCGCCTAAAGGTATTGGAACAACAAGTGGCAACCATCAGCCGAGAAAGAGGAAGATATCACGGCGATCATCTAATTCAGCCATACCTAGGGCTCACAGCACAACTAACTCTGCTGACAACGAGTCTTCAACGTATGCAGTCTGACATATCTGATGTATTAATCGGCATTCACCATCGGACAATAAGCCCAACGCTAGTATCTCCTGAGCAATTAAGAGAGCAACTAGACCAAATCCGGGGCCAGCTGATGCCAGCTGATCAAATGCTGCCTGTCACAACACAAAATGTGATACAATTATACAGGCTCATGCGAGCCGAAGGAACACTGACTGCCACACGCGTTATTTTCAAGGTGACACTACCGTTAGTTTCAACAGTTAAGCTCGAAGTTTTCAGTATTATGCCAATTCCGGTCTGGGACTCAACAAGCTGGAGCTTGTTCAATCTCAAAACGACCATAATCACTGTGAACACTCACCGAGATCAATTCATGGGATTTACTCCAGAAGAATTTCGACGCTGCTTTAAACTACTCAACGCAGAATACATCTGCTTTGATCATCAAACAGTCTTCAATGTCGACAATCACTGTGAGTTTCAGTTGTTTAACGATAAAACAGCACCTTTATGTGAAGTGATCCAAGTGGTCCAAAACTCAGCAAGCAAATAAATCGATTTTTTCAACACACTCTACCATGCGACTTCAGGCAGTTTGCAACGGGTCTCCGTCAACCATAAAACTGGAAGGAACTGGCTTACTCTCACTGTCACCTGGATGCACTGCTCGCAATACAGAAATAAGCATTAGTACCTTCAGCACAACAATCAGTGAAGTCAAATCAACCTACACTCGATTTGGGGACATACGCTTACCAGCGACACCCCCATCGCCAGCAACTGTACAATTGGAGAACCAGACATCAGACTATCTTCAAGAATTGGAGATTGAAGATTTACGCCTGCAATTAGTGGTAATCAATCAACAAAGGCTGCCACACCATCTCAACTCAGTGCAGCATCATCAAATCGCATCTTATGCTGCCCTAGCAATATCAACGCTATTGATTATTGCGTTCATTCTCCGGAAGAAGTATCAATCATGGAACCCAAGGCCGTCAACAATCAACCAAGCAGAGACACGCGGATCATCAGCCCCGATCCCCATTCCACGCCGCTTTTCAGTCGACTTGGGCGATGTTTGAACACCAGTTCAACGGCCGGGACTGCTGACTGACTATCACAATTGCCCAATAACACAATATCATATTAAATCCAAATTAACAGTTGTCTGGCAACTCTCCGTGCATGGCAGCAAACAGCTGTTAAAAAAAAACACATATTTGAATTTTACGGTAAACTTAATTAAAATGCCTTTAACGAGACTGTTGGCCATCGAAAAACTACGGAGGCAACATATTAGAATACAGACCTTGCAGCGCAGGCTTCTCAGATGCGCATCGGACTCGTTTTCATGTTCAGACGATACGTATGTGGTTTTGTGATTGTCTTCTCAAACTACTGCTAATTTAGTTCATTACAATTATCAATTTTTGGTATAATGAACGTTATGCTTCTATTTGTGCTGCCATGGGTCTGCGCTTAGCCGAACAGGGGTTTTTGACATAAATGCAATGGCGATAATGTGTAGAAATGGTTTGTTAGTTTTGTTTTGGCATTTTGAAGCGATGCCACCTGGTAGAACTACAAATGACTACAAATGTTGTCACAATTTGCACAAAAAGTATGCACACGTTTGACGTAAAGGAAGTTTTACTACAATGAGCTATTTTTTGTTATGCTTAATTAAAGAAAAACAGAATGCTTTCAATATAATTAATATTAAATATATTGCTCCGAATTCGACTTAAAAAAGGTGGCATTACTGTATTAACTTCGAAAGTCCGAATCGCACTAGGTGGCCACCTCGCTCTGCAGCGGATGGAGAGCGGAATCGTAAAGTGAAAATTCAGACAGCGGATTGAATAGTGATTTGCTAAAATGCTAAAACATGTGTAATGTTAAATTATTTGGATGAGGGTTAACCACCAATTGAACAACCTTTATGGGAAATTCAGATTCGAATCGTTTTAGGTGTGTTTTATGGGTGTATTTAATCAAATCGCTGGATAAATTGTGAGCGATTTTGATCCCGCTGAAAAATCGGTGTGTGGCACGGCGGAATGGAATTGAGGTGATTTTCCAGCGGAAGTGATTTCTGTGGCACCCCTGTATATTTGACAGCCCTGTAAGGGCCAACTTTATACAAAAATACTAAGTTCGAATAAACACGATCCTGTTTTATATGGATAAAAAAACTGACAAACCTTTTCTGTTACTCTGAATATTTATTATATAAGTATGTGAGTTAAAGTAGGTTGTGCTATTGTAATTATTTGTGATAAGGGTTTTTCCTCACTTACACTCATCGAGTCACACAGTATACAACGATCTGGAAAAATCACAATAAATTCGAAACTTTTCAAAATCTGAACTGAAAAAACCTGAGGTTTGCAATGATGTTCTTACCTTAGAAAGTGTTGTGTTTCTGAACTTCTTACTATCTTCCAGATCATGCCACAGCGACGAAGCGCTCGCATAACGGATCAGCGTGCTGATGATACTCGCACCCGTACCGCTGCACAGCGTCCTTCTACCCGTCGTGCTACCCGTGCTGCGCGCTCTGCGCTACAATTTCTAACATTTCTGGGAATAATATGTCCAACTGAGTATGTCCTCCCTCATAGGGCGTGTCAGAAGGGCCAAGAATGGTGGCCAACCAGTGGTGTGTATCGTCCTCAACTATCTCCACCTGGCAACCGTCCGCTGGATTGAACATCATTTCGTTCATCTCGCGGCTAAGACGGATTGCGTTGGCAGGAAAACTAGAACTGGATAGAGGCTGTTGCTCCTGACCCTGTGCCCCGTTCTGTGTCCTACTACTTGGCCTGCCCTGGGGTAGAGTCTGTGAAACAACTGTGGCGATATTTTGCAGTTCAGTATCGAATGCAGTCTCTCGCCGAAGTATTTGTCGAACTTCAGGGGCAGCACGCTGTGCAGATAGGAGCCAGGGAGTGGACCACACGTTACGCTACTCCCGAGGCATTTTAAATTATACTTTATTTATACATAATACACAGTAATACAACCCCATGTACCCACATTCATTCCCAGATACATATATGTATACATATACATCTGTATACAGATAAATATAAACATGCTCATTGAATATATTCCATGTATGTAGGTGTTCAGTCGCATACTTATGAATTAATTAATATTACATAACATACACTTATCGAAGAAGTCAGGTCGACCCATGTAACGGGAGACATAATAACAAACGGCAAAGCATTGTAGCTGAGTCAACAACAACCGCTTCTGCAGCAATTTCTGCCAACGATGCGATCGCTCTTCAGAGGGCAATAACACTGGTGCAATAGCTGACTATCACAATTGCCCAATAACACAATATCATATTAAATCCAAATTAATTCAATATTAATTCCAATTCCCTTTTACCATTTTCTTACTAGACTCAGCACTTTCTGTACCTTTTGTTACCTATAAATAGAATAAATAGAATAAAATCAGTATCAGAAACAGTACCATCACTGCCTGTTCACTCATTCTCTACAACTGCAATCAACAGAGGCTGTCGCCGTGTCTTCAGACCCTCATTTGCTCGACGTAGGAAACCCTCTCCGCAGCCCAACTGGTTCAAGTTCTAGTTGCGACGACAAATTTGTAAACGGTTTATGTACCGTATGCATACCAAATCACACACACACACAAACACACATTAACATTTGATCGCCCCTTTCACACTGCACTTAACTCTACTGCCTTCTCATTTCTCCTCTCCTTGTCTTCCTCTTCTTCCTTATTTGGGGTGGGAAGAAGACTAAAAAAAACTGATATTTCTTCCGCCGCCTTAAACTTTTGTCGGGCAGAAATCAAGACTCGGATTCCGCCGTTGATCCCTCAGGTGTTTTGGCCTCTTCTCCTACCGATGTGGGGGGTGTTGGGGACGTTGGGGGACGTTGGGGTACGGGAGTCATACACTCAAGCACACATAGATTTATACTGCTCGATGCACTCGACGGTATGTATGCCGACGCCTGGCTATTCGAAACTGATCCAGCTCGACTTGATATGCTTGCGCTCGCATCTCCGCTCTGTCGAGCGCGTTTTGGTTGCAGCCAACAACAACGAATTAATGCACATTAAATTTAATTTTAATTTGTTGTAAACATTGAAAAACAAAATTCTTTATTTAATTCCTAATAGAAAAATTATTTTATTAATCTTCTCGAATTTCTAAACTAAATAAAAGCTTTAAAATTGCCTATTTGCCAAAAAAATATATTAAATTTATTATTGAAATGAAAATTTAATTTATTTATCATTTCAGTGTTGATAGCATTTATTAGCTCATTACGAGAATTAAAATTGTACAGCATTTACACATGTACGAATATATTGTTGACATTGTGTTAGTTACAGCAGTCAGCAATCAGCAATCAGATGTGTATAGATTTTTAGTTTGTTTCGATTAATTTTGCCGCTTCCTTTTGTTCTGCGCTTCCTGGGCATTTTGGCCCTGTTTCCTGGCCCTGTTATATGCAGTGGCGTAGCTACGTACGTGCAAGACGGTGCTGCGCACCGGGGCCCTTGAACTTAAGGGGCCCCAAGCTCATGTGCCCAGACTCTGACCAAAAAATCACCAAAAAATCTCTCACTCCTCACTTCTGTTTGAAATGCAAGCATGCATTCGACTTGTATAATTAAGCGTCGCTTAAATTATTCTTCATAAAATTCTATGGAGAAACGGCTGGAGTAACGTTCAAAACGGTAAAATATGATTTTCGGAGGGTTTATCAACCAATTTCGGATGAGCCTTTTCTTCATTTATTAATATGCACCTATAAACAACAAAAAATAAATTTAAAACGAGAAGGAACGTGTGAGTCGTTTCTGGGGACACGACTCTACTTATACCCGTACTCAGTCAGTATATACATACACTTTTGAGCTTATGATTTTTTAGAATTTTAGAAAAAAAAAAAAAATTTTACATTTTACATTTTTTTGCTACATATGCTATCTACATCTACATATAAAATGTCTATTATACATCTAACATGTAGATTGTACATGTTCCATTCATATTCTACATCTCCTCCGCTAGGGGTTGCTCGCGCACTGAACGCGGCAGAGTGTGCGAGCGAGAAGGAAAATGAGTTGTGTTGTCGTTTGATGGAGGAGGGGGAGGGGAAGCAACTGAAAATTAGTTTCTTCATTATGGCTATAATTATGATCCGATCTGATTCAGATTCGGCAGTCTGGTAGATATGGTCATTCTCTACGATACTGCGTTTTTAGTTTTATCGTTTCTTTAAAATTGTGCCTGCCACAGATTTTCGTCCTTTGTGGGGGCGGAAGGAGGCGGGGCGAAATTTTGAAATACACTTGTAGCAGTGTGATATCACATGAGTCTGGAAACCAAATTTGGTTGCCCTAGCTCTTATAGTCTCTGAGATCTAGGCGCTCAACAAGACAGACAGACAGACAGACAGACGGACAGACGGACAGACAGACATGGCTATATCGACTCGGCTATTGATGCTGATCAAGAATATATATACTTTATGGGGTCGGAAACGTTTCCTTCTCTGCGTTACACACATCCACTTTTACCACAAATCTAATATACCCCTTAACTCTTTTTTGAGTACGGGTATAAAAACGAGAAGGAACGTGTGAGTCGCTTCTTTGGACGCGACTTTACTTTTATACCAGTATTCAGTCGGTATATAAATTTGTGAGCTTATGATGATGATGTTCCCCAATAGCATGGGTCCAATAGGATGGGTTTCAGCAATATGATGGGCTTCTGCTTTCAATAATAAAGACGACTGCTCTCCTTTTCGTGCAGCGAATTACTGAAGTTTTTATTTCCTCTTTTCCCTACTTATAGGGCTGAAAGCTTAGTATATAATGTACATAAAGTGTACATAGTGTTTCGACACCGCAGACTGCTGGCTTCGGTCCTCGCCGGATGTTGATTCGAATGTGTTTACATTAGGCTGTGACTCAAAATAACTTTTTCTTATAGATTTCGGGGTTTAAATTTTTTTAACGAATTATGGTTTTTTTATGGTGTAGTTTTTTTCTAAAGAATTCTTTAAAATCTGGTATTTTTTTAATGTTTTTTTTCAGAGGCAGTGCTTCTAATATTCATATAACTTAAGTATCTTATGCAGCTATAAATCCGACCCAGACCTTTTGTATCTTCAGCTTAACGCCTAAAAGATATTAAGCCTCAAAATTCAAATTTTTTGCGGTATTTATTTTTGAAAATTTGACTTTAAAAACTCGGGAAAAGTCGAAACAAAAATAATTTTTGGCCAACATTTTTGGTTTTAGATAGACGCATTAATTAGGCGTCGCTTAAGGTATTGCTCATTAAAATGTATGGAGAAACAGTCAACTTGCAGCCGTTGGACCAAAACGACTCAAAACAAATTTTACCTGAAAAATACCGTTCCTGGTCCAATGCCAAAGGAACACGTTCAGGTACCAAAAATTCAACCCCTTTTCGTTGGCTTTGTTTCTAATTGGCAGTTGGGCCCACAACCTTCCAAAAAGTATTTTTTGTCTATTTTTTCACTTTTGAGGTTTGGTTAATGAATTTTAGCTCCATCGTTTATCCATAGATCCATTTTAATGAACAATACCTTAAACAACGCCTAATTAATGCCTCTATCTAAAGCTAACAAGAAGGAACGTGCGAGTCGCTTCTGGGGACGCGACTCTACTTATACCCGTACTCAGTCAGTATATACATTTTTGAGCATATGATTTTTTAGAATTTTAGAATTTAAAAAAAAATTTTACATTTTACATTTTATTGCTACATCTGTTATCTACATCTACATATATTATGTATATTCTACATCTAACATGTAGATTATACATGTACCATTTAGATTCTACATCTCCTCCGCTAGGGGTTGCTCGCGCACTGAACTCGGCAGAGTGTGCGAGCGAGAAGGAAAATGAGTTGCGTTGTCGTTTGTGGAGGAGGGGGAGGGGAAGCAACTGAAAATTAATTTCTTCATTCTGGCTATAATTATGATCCGATCTAATTCAGATTTGGAAATCTGGTAGATATGGGCATTCTCTACGATACTGCGTTTTTAGTTTTATCGTATCTTTAAAATTGTGCCTGCCACTTTGAGTGGGCGGAAGGGGGCGGGGCGAAATTTTGAAATACACATGTAGCAGTGTGATATCACATGAGCCTGGAAACCAAATTTGGTTGCCCTAGCTCTTATAGTCTCTGAGATCTAGGCGCTCAACAAGACGGACGGACGGACGGACAGACAGACATGGCTATATCGACCCGGCTATTGATTGTAACGATTCAGGCGCGATGGAATAAGATGGGAGAAGGGCGCACGCTTCTAGTCCCGGCTGGGAGGCTCTTCGGCAAGTGGGTGATCTTGCCCTGCCCCATTGTGTGCCTATTCTCCTTATTGCGAAAGCTAAAATGTGTGCGTGCTACGACGAAATAATACGGGGACCTAACATTACCAAAAACACACAATGTATGACTCTCTCTCTCTCTCGGTTGCTCCCGGAATGCCTTTCTTCCCCCCTCAGGTCTCATGAGGGGTATCTACCCTCCCTTCCTTGGTCATTCCCGAATCACCTAACCTGGCCAGAATGACCCCATGGCTTTCCGAGAGCTCCTATGGGGACATCAGCTAGCTGAAGGCAAAACAAATAGGGAAATTTAAAACATAAAAAAATTATTAACCTAAACATAAAATTCTGACCAACAAACTAATACCGAAAATGAACATTGAGAAGAATAATAAATAAATTAACGTAAACTATGTAAAAGAAATAAATAATTTTAAATGTCTAAAAAAAATGGCTAATAAAATGAACTGAGATGGATCTTCTTCGCGTGCACTGCGAATCATCGGACAAGGCAGAATGTGAGAGAGCCGAAAAGTTCGACGGAGAGTGCTGGGGTGCTGCTCTGAGCTTTTCTTTTTCACAATTTAAATTTGCATATTCTGCCGATTTCACTCACCCTTATTTTCCGTGTTCGACGATGAAGCGCTTCCTCGCGGAAATCCGGAGCTGTAGGGGGTTTTTTAGATAAAATATATGATCGCAAATACCCAAAAGATCTCCATAGAAAAAAATG